ATATATATATATATATATATATATATATATATATATATATATACATATACAGTGCCTCCTAAACTTTCTAAATGTTTCTTAAAAATAAAAAATGTGGGTGTTTTTGCTCTCACTTCGCAGGTTTGTCTCAAAATGTTTTTGTTCTCGTTTGAAACAGATACAAATAGTTAAAGTTAACACTGTGTACGCTTTTTTCTATTTAACAGAATAAAACAAGAAATTCAGGACCAATTAGCAATGTCACTTACTGTGTAAAGCAATAATGAAAAAATTAAATAAATAAAAAAACATTTTTGAAACGAATCAATATCAAACAACTTTATTTGAATCATTTTAGTCAGACAAACCGTAGACTTGGGTGAAAATATCAATTCTTGCACCGACATAATTATCAGCTATGAAACGCGTTGACATCATAGTCACAAGAATTCAGTTTTAAAGCTCGAGGCTTGCATAAACCAGGTTTACTGCTGTGAAATCAGTGAAACCCCGGTCTGACATCGGTAGTGCTCCTAAAAACTATTTTTTTTACATGTTCTCCCACTACGAACATCAAGTACTTACAGGTGCTTACATTTCACTCTTAGAAAACAAACAAAAGACCGTTGGAAAAAAAAAACTATCATTTACAGTATTTCTCAAGAAAATCCACATCGATCAAAGTCAATCCTCCAGTAATAAACAGGTCATTAGTTTCCTGGAGGTTCCAAGAATCCAAAGTTTATGGCTTTGTATCAATGCATAGACTCTCTCTCTATGGGAGATGAACACACTGGAGACACGGCGCTAAAACGTAAACGTACTAAACCTGCGAAGAGAAAACACGTGCGAACAAACAGAACTGGGAGAATTTTTTTTAAAACCCTCAAAAAGCTTGACTAGGAGGTGCACAATGAGTAGAACATCTTATCGCTATGTTTTCTACTTCTACAGAAATCACAGCATGAAAACGAGACGCTGTTAGCGCGTCGTGGCCGAGGAAATAATTCAAATATATATAAGAGAAAATACTGAATTTATCATTCCGATCAGAATTTATAAAGCTTCTTTTTTTTTTTTTTAAACCAAACTTGCGATGGGTATCAATTAAGGCAAATATATCCTTTTATTCCTGAACATCAAATTTGGGTACTGCATGAAAAATTTTAAGTAATAACATCTATTACGTACTAGTACTTGAGTTGGTACCGTTCTGTGTCTCTGTGCTGTATTAAGTACAACAGCTTGCCGATGATGTTAATGTATGCAGTGACAAAAAAAGAGAGACAGAATTCCATGTTTTTGTTTGGTTTTTAACATAAAGTATTTTTAGATTTCCACAGTACTTTTCTCCCCTGAATGTACAGTACTGAGATTATAAGTGCTTTACAAAAGAAAGTGATGGAAGCTAACGGGACAAAAACTGGCACGGTAACTCAAATTGTTTTGTAATATAAACAAAAGTGACTCTAGTTGAGCTTTAGTTCTGAACGGGTTAACAAAAACAAACTCGAGCAAAAACAATACCTTTAATAATTAAGTAATTAATAATAAAAACCTAAAACATTTAACAAGAAAAAGCGACAACAAACTGAACTGTTACGTGAATATACAGCTGGAAATGTTTCGCGTTGGAGTTTCTGAACGTTTAAGTGACATCATTCGTTTGAAGATTTGAGTTTGTTTTTGTTGTTCTGATGGAAATATATTTATTTAAATAGATATATGTCCACCTGAACTGAAACATACACACAATATCCCCAATTATGTCTGATATGCACAAGAAATAAAAGCAATGAAAACATACAGATCCAAACACCAAACAAATCAAAAAACGGATAACATTGCTAAAGTGAGACATTTCAGTACAAATAAAACGAGTCCGCTTGTTTGAGTTTCATATACTGTTGCATCATCCAGCGTCTCGGGGACTTGGTAGGAGTCATGGCTGGTTCCTTTAAACGTTAGCAGGTCTCTGTTCAGCAGCTTGCATTGTGGCTGTGTCTTCATGTTCCTTTATGAAGAGACCCTGAAGATGAAGCGGAGTGGCTGTTCATCTGCAGAGGCCGAACACCAAACAGGTTAGATAAATATCTGTCTCAGGAACGTGACCTTTCAGGTGTTTTATTGCTAAACAAAATCACAGAATGCTGATAATAGTGTGAATGTTTATAAAGCGTTCACACTATCGTGATACATTTTTCTTCCGTACGTTGTTTGGCGTGATTCTCGTCCCGCAGTTTTCAAGCTATTTCAACAAATCATAAATCGAAACGTTCAGCTCGTTCAGGACAATCCTGTTATGACATTTGGTATCGGTGCAACTTTAGCTTTTTGAAATATTTAGCTTTTTCTGGCATTTTTTTCCTCATAGAAAATGAATTGAGCTCATTTGACATCCTTCAAATCTTTAGATCTGTTTACAACCTTTTACTGCTCCTTTCACATTTTCTTCTGGTTCAGCTTCTTTCAGCTTCCTTGTGCAAATGTAAACCTTTTTTTTTTCAGCTATTTTCAGCTATTTTCAGCTGTTTTGTGCTCCTTTCTGAATCTTTCTTCCAACTACAAATTTGTTGTGCTTCTTCTAACTTCTTTCTGCTCCTTTCAGCTTATTTCTGCAAGCTTCAACTTCTTCTGCTATTTCAGCTACTATATAGGTATTTATGCAAATTTCTCCCTTTTTCAGTTAATTCCACATTTTATGATTTTACAAATATGTGCTCTCTTCACTTCCTTCTGGTGAATTAAGCTTCTTTCTGATTTTTTAGCTACTTTCAGTGGGTTTTTTGCTAATTTTTCAGCTTTTTAAAGATAATTTCCACTTTTTGCACGCGTCTCTGCTTCTTTCAGCCTAACTGGGCAAACGTGTTATTTTTGCTTTCCTGCTAATTTTTTTTTACTTGTTCTACCTTTGCAGCTAGCTTTATAGCATTATTTAGCTAATTTCAGCTGTTTTCAGATAAATTCAAGTTGTTCATGATAATTTTTGCTATTTTCAAACCAATTCTAATTTCAGCTTGTTATGCTCCTTTCAGCTTTTTCTGCTATTTTAGCTACTTTTTTGTTGTTTTCAGGCTGATTTCAGTTTTTTCAGCTAATTCCACATTTATTTTAGCACATTTCAGCTCTTTCCACTTCCTTCTGGTAGTTTCATGCTTCTTTCTGCCGTTTTGGCTTTTTTGGTGCTAATTTCTTCCTTTTTTATCTAATTTCCTCGTTTCTGTGCTCATTTCTGCAACATTACACCAAATGAGCAAAAATGTGTTCTTTCTTCTGCTAATTAAGGCTGGTAATTAATTAATTAATTATGTAATTAAGCTACAATTCAGCAAGTTTTTCTTTTTAGCAAATTTCAGTTGTTTTTCAGCAAGTTCTTCACCAATAAGCATTCACAATGCATTTTCACAGGAAATGCAATTTCACTAGTTTGAAATTAAAGATGGAAATCCTGGTTTCTTGCTTTATTATAAATTTACCGACCTACCTACTGTTTGTTCTAACGTCTTTTTAAGTTGTACGGCCCGATTCATTTGTCAGCCCTGATGTTTGGAACGTTGCTCAAAGGTTCTTTTAAAGGAGGAAGTAGGATGAAGGTAGGCCTAACTGGCAAGCTTAAGTGACACAACATATGGAGCTGCTGGATGAATTTTTACCCTGAGGGGGGACAACGGTGTCTTTTTATTTTTGTTTGCTTCTTCCCTGTCAGCCTCCTGAACACAATGTGAAGAAATAGGCAGCCAGGTTGTGGAAGCTGACAGCTACGCGTGCGGACACACGTGTGCACAGAAAAGACAGGCTGTCCTCGGACGCAGACAGGAGAGCAGGAGCAGTTTCTGCAGACACGTGTGAGGAAAGGAGGGGTTCCTCTGGCTGTGTGTGCTTTTTATGAAGGCAACTGATTGGAGATTCTAATATTTAGAGCATTACAAGCAATACAAGTCTGTATTCTTTTTAACGGCAGTGTAAATTAGATCGTTTCATAATACTCGTTGTAACGTGTGCATTCACAAAATTTCAACAGCAGAATGTGCCGTAAGGCCAATTACAGCTAAAGCTGGAAGCTACAGCTTTAATGATGATTGATAGAATGTAAAAAATAATTACTTAATGAATAATAGGATTTTTATTATAGTACATCATATATGAAATTTCTCCCAATTAATGGGTCTTTGTTTTCCTCCACAACACACATTCTTACAGGCGACTGCCGTGCAGGCATTGAATGGACGTAGGTGGGAAAATTGTAAAATGAGAATTAAAAAAAGGCTAATATAAAATGTAAAACGAGATTTTTGTTGCTCAAGAGAAAAGTTTAGTAAAAACAGGAAGTTCATCAGTAGCACCTTACTGTTTCAGTTCTGGTTCAGCATCACAAAGCCAATAAATCTATCCTGATTTATTAGAATGATAAGGTTTAATAACATTTTAAATGACAAAAAATGTTTTGATTTTATTTGTAAAAACCTATTATCTACTGTATGTGCTGATTATAATTCAAATCAAATAGCTCATCGTTTAGATTTATATTTTTAGACTAAAAACTGTGTTTTTTTTTCAATGTTAGAATGGAAGATAAGGTCATTTTTCATATTTTATTAAACTAAATCTATAAAGTGTCAAAACGTGCTAAGGAGAACCTACCTGTTTAGAAATTTCAGAGGGATGGACTTCATTTCCAAAATGTCCATTCAACTGCAGCATCGCTGTGAAAGCAGAATTGTAGCACAACGTTTAAAAACAAGCATCTCGCTTTGAACTGTGCATATATTATAACGTTACTGCTTGAGTTATTAAATAAAACATAATTGTGATCATTTAAATAGAAGGTGCACATAAATACAATATTTTAGAATTGTTAGAAACAACTTCAGCTCCTTTATCTTGCAGTAACTACAACTCAGTTTAAAAAAAAAAACCTTCCTCCTTACTTTGCGGATCAATTCTCGGATCAACGAACCCCCAGTGCTGATAAAGAGCCGCCAGGTCACTGGGACTGTAGTTCTTCAAGAAACTCAAAATGCCCACGTCCTTTGGCATTGCTCCTGTTGACTCACTCTTGCCCTGAGCAAAAAGGAGTGGATCTGAATAAGCTTTGGCCCCGTGTGGCCTCCACATGTTCATGGCTGCCCACAGATCAGAACCCTTAGGACCTGAAGAAAAGTCCCACGACTGCCTGCGGGAGTGGGATCTGTCTGCTGCTGCGTTTGAAGAAGCCCCGCTGTGACTTCTCGCCAGAATAAAACCCAAACCCTCCTGTGGGAACACCCCCTCCACAGCAGCTCTGTCACCTCTGTGTTTGGGGCTGCTTGAAGTCTGAAAGGCATCTAAACTCTTGGTGTGCACAGAACTGTTTAATGAAGCGGTCTGGCCACCGGAGCCTTTGCTTCCACCCTCTGCTGCTCGCTTGTGTTCCCCTGAGCTCCTCTGAGGGTGGAGGCTGACCTTCCCAGTAGACGGTGTCCCGTCCTTTGAGTGATGCTTGGACTTTGAGATGCTTGACTGGCTCCTGGAGGTTAAGTGCTTGCTACTGCTACTGCTGCTGCTGCTGCCGCTGCGGGTTGTGAAACCTGGAGGCTGTGTTCGCTGGGTCCGAGGGGTGGGTAAAGCTGGGCAGTCCTTGCCTTCAAGGAAAGGGGGTGGTCCGGTGCGCCTCCACTGAGACGCTCCAGCCTTTAAGCTTTTTAGAGTGTTTATGCAGGGGGCCCACTTGGGTGCTACAGAGCTGTTGCCGTTGACCTTGTGGGCGACACGTTGATGAATCCAAAGGACTTCTGGGTAGTTGGTCTTGTGGGAGCAGTATAGGCACTGATGTTGCACCAGACCCTTTGTTTGCACCGTATCATTAATATTTCCATCAGTAAGAGGTGATGAGGAAAGATTAAGAAGACTGCCAGTGTCCTCAGAAGCATGTGCCTCCTCTTTTACCTCCCTTCCATTAGACAATTCTGTCTTAACACTTTCCTCTGCCATTTCCTGACCAGGAGAACGTGTGCAGGGATTCCAATATGGCTGACTGAGCAACAAACTCCTGCTTCTGAGGTAGTCCATGTATCTTGAGGCTCTGGACCCACTTTTGCTAACACTATCAACAGTGGTGTTGTGTTTGCTGCAGGAACCCGGGTGCTGACTGTACAGGTGAGACCTGAGCAGCGAGGAGTCGACAGTGCGGAAATCACAGTGTTCACAGAAGAAGTGGGTTTTATCTATTAAAAGAAGCAGAAGAGTGTTTGTCAACAGTTGCAAAGTGATGTGACACACATAGCAGAGACTTTAACAATAATTGCACTCATTTAGAAGAAAAAAGCTGTACTTGATGATGTCAGGGATTGGAAATTATTGTTAGCCAAAATATTAGTCATTACAATTTTTTGCGATGGTACAGTGGAAACTTCTCTGGGCCAATGGCTCTTTAAAACCACCAAATATCAGACAAACATGAAATTAATTAGTACATTGATAAATTATAAACTGAAAATATTAATTTTTATTATTTAATATATTTAAGAATTAACTTCTTCTATAAATCGACACATTTGTAGATTAAGTCATCTTGGCGACTGTTTTTATATATTGCAGTTTCTGCAACTCCACTTCAATTTCACTAGAGGGCGCCCTTTATCAAGTTAAAACTATAATTAATTATCACAATTTTTTTGTTTTGTTTAGTTTATTTTTTTTTTTTTGAATGACCAAAGGACCAGATTTAACTTTTTTAGATTTTTCTACCTGGATTATTGAGCATGCATCAGGAAATTAATGATCACGTTTTGAAATTACATGTTTAAGTTTAATTTATTTTACAGGCACTCGATAAATAAACAAATTCTTAAAAATGCAACACACACCTATAGATGTAAACTAGGTCTGTAACTCCACCTCATGTTTAAGGATTTGACCTTCTGCTCACAGAAGAGCTTCTAGATGTGTTGTGTTCTGGACTCACCTTCCTTCTCTTGGCCTCTGAACGTCTTGCTCGGTTTAGATGAGAGCTGAGTATCTTTACCAGTCTTTTTCTGTAGTGCCTCGTAAAAAGCATGACCAAGTCCGTTTAAAAGAATACGGTCCTTCTGACAACTCTTTTTGTCTCCACCTTTAGCATAGCCCAAGGTGTTTGGTGTGTGATCCAGGTCTGTTTCACCCTTCTTCTTCTTGTTGGAGTGTGAGGTGTCGATTTGCTTCCTCTTCTTCTCTGGCTTCAGGGGTACATACTCTCCTTTCTCTGTGTCGTACGCCACCTCTGCATCTGCCAGTCTCTCCTCCCATCCCAGACATTTTTCTGCAGCCTCCACTAGTCGACCTCTTGTGGCTAACTGCCATGCTTGGTAACTACAAATTGGGTCCAGCTCTGGAATTCGCCCACCCAGAATACTTTCCACAGGTATTTCTTTAGGTTTAGCAGTTGTAAGATTCAAGCGTTCCAAAAAATGTTTCTTATCAACATGCAGCTCTGAGAAGTTCACATCTTTATGTGGTGGGTTCTGAGTATGGCCGTGGTTCAGTTTATGTAGTTTTTCATGACTCCGCAAGGTCTTGCGGTCATAGAAAAAGTTCCCACAGCTAGCACAGAGCTCATAGAGGCACTCTTCATTTGTCAGTGATGCTTTGTCCAGTGGAATCCCGTTAATGGTGGCAGGAGGTTCATTGCTTTTACTGCCACGAAGCTGCGATTTGACCCGATGAATGCGCATGTGGCTTTGGAGAAACCATGCTTGGCGGAAGCGTCTTCCACAAATGTGGCATCCATGATCCTGGTGACCTCTGTGCCGTTTCATGTGGGATTTAAGGAGTAATACCTGAGGGAAAACCTGGCCGCAAATGGCGCAGGATAAAGGTCCGGAATCAGCCGCATCAGCAACCTCGACACCATCTTTACTCTTCACTTTTTTCTTTGTTGCTTTTTTCTTTACCTTCCCATTGACAGTGTGGTTTTTGTCAGACGTGCTGATAATTTCAGGGGGGTCAGGCGTATCAGGACAATCTTTCTTTACTTGATCTCCTTCCTCTTTCTTGTCACTAGAGTTATGGCTGAAAAGCCCCAGTTTATGGCTTCGAATGTGAGCCTTCAGACTGCCCTTCTGAGCCGCCCTGTGCTCACAGTAGGGACACTTGTATGGCTTCTCCCGGGTGTGCCTTCTCATGTGCTGAGACAGAGAGCTGAGGAGAGGAAAGCTACGACCGCACACACCACAGGTATGGCATGACGCTGCGTCTTCCTCACTCTCTACTTTTATACCAAGTGTCTGCTGTGATCCATCATCCTTCTCTTCCATCTCCGTTACTTTTTGTGGAGCGCTCGCACATGAAAATGTAAAGCTGTGAAGTAAATCTTCTGACTGCAAAGTCTATGCCAGAAAAGTTACAAAGTTCTTAGAGCAGGCACCAAAATCTTGCAAAATGCCTGTTTTATTGTCCATCTTGACCTTTAGACAAAGATGCTGCATGCAGTTGTTACAGGAATTCCTGAAAACAAAAGAACAACGTAAAATTAGATCATATTTTACACGTACTACTCAATATGTGCATTATTAGCATTAGACAAATTACGTACGAGAATCTAAACATGAAAATCCAACATGTTTCTATAATATTTCATTCTAAGCTGTCACCTTATTACAAATTACTAATCATTAAAAATGTAAAAAGTGAAAGGTAAGGACTAAATATATACAGAAATTCTAAGTTGTGTTTTTGTTGTTTTGTTTTTGTCTTTTAGCATTATAACTGTAATTGTATGCATGTTTGTATACACAGGTTATGGTCTTGAAAAAGCCAATGATGTGAAGTGAGAATGATGTGCTTGTTTTTAAAGTCAGATTCATTTTGGAAGCACAATAAAAAAAATACATAGATGTTATTTTATAGTATGTATTGACAAATTTCTGTATTGTGCAAAGGTTGTTAGACATTCCTTGTTTCTTTATTTTGCCTCCGGGGAGCTACATTTTATTATAATCATTTAAAGTGGAACTGAGCAATATTTCTTCAGGCTTTCAGGAAGTTTTCTATTTTTCTTTAGATTTTGGGTGATTTTTGTTCAGTAGCTGATCCTTTTCTGGGACTTTTTATTTTTATTGTTTTTTATGTCTCTTAAGTCTGATTTATGAACCATCCAGGCATAAAAAACTCCAAACTGAAAGAATGAACATTATGTGGACACATAAAAGATAATTTATAATATAATCAATTTAAAATCACATATTTAGGCATTTTGTCACAAAGATACAATGTAGTCTATTGTATTTTACTATAAATTTATTTTAAAAAATCCTCAAACTGACAGTTTGAGACAAAAATATTTTAACATAAACAAGGGGATTTCCAAAAAACTGTTTGCTGAATAATTGTCACGCAACAATGATCAACTGAAGGATGATGCATCTTTTTCTTCTTTTATAACATCTTTCACATCCTGTTCATTTGAACATATATATATATATATATATATATATATATATATATAAAATAGGCTTCACACTTCTTTTTTGTCCTTAACTTCTCTCATTTTGGAGCAAGCATTCATTTCACAATATAACTGAACTTAAAACAAGTGAAAAAGCATCGCAAAATCTCCAAAAACCTTTGAAAGCCTCAAGACCACCTGTCCAAGATTACTTTAAAAGTATGGCTCCTTAAAAGCAATGTACAAAATAAATTAATGGATTGTTGTATATTATTGCATGTGTTTAAAAAGAACAGCAACTGAAATGTGAGTGAGAGAAACCACTGAAGAAATCTGCATCAACCAGATTTTTGGAATATCCTTTTTGTCCACAGTGAATGAACGATGGCTGTCTGTATGTATTAGACCGCGGGTCAGTGTCTCAACGTGCATGTCTGTGGTTCCCTATGCCGAAATTGAGTGTGTGAAGTGAAGCATGAAGAGATGTATTCATTCCTAGTCTGCTAGGATGAACCCGTAGGGGCCATCCACTCTAATTCACAATCAATAAACCATTATCAACAAACTTCATTTTAGTACCAAACTGGCACATTCAGAGCCTTTGAATCTGGAGTGAACATAGAGTAATCATAACAGCGAACCAAATCTCTAAAATGATGATGATCATTAGATGTTTTATCGTTTCACCATTTCTAGGGCTGTTTCAGTGAAAGAAGGTACTCTATGGTATATAGTGGGCTGGGCAGTCAAAAGAGAAACCTGCTATTGTGTTGGTCGCACCAGAACTGTCACATCGCCTCACGTCTGGTCTTCTAGCCCTCATTAGGGGGTCGAGATAGTTATTGTTAAACTAAAGAGGCCTGGGCCTACACGTCACTGTCTTCGAATACTCGTCTGAGTAAAGAGGCAGGACAAAAGGGCGACTCTTGTTCAAGACATCAGTTTAAGAATGTGAGGGAAAAACTGGGCGAGAACATACAAAGAGCTAAAAGAAAAAGAGACTGATATGATTTTCAGGGGCTGAGGCTGTCCGTCTAATTATCTGTCTCTGTATCTGCATCCAAAGGCGCATCTGTCCGCCTGCCTGCTTGTTGTTGTGTGTGCTGAGCCGCTCGCGCCGGATTGAATGTTGTCTTTCAAATATGGCGGAGTTCAGGGGTTCTTTCTGCATATGGCAGGTGTTTTATAAGAAGACGCCATCAGATTAGTGCACGGGCAATGTGGCACACTGAGGGGGGAGGACGTGCAGGAGAAACTAGAGGGTGGCAATTAAGGGTTTAAAGTTAAGGCGAATGTAATGAGTTAACACAATGGGGATAAAGTCAGAGAACTGATGGCAACAGATGGGTTTAAACAGGCCACCAGTATGGAGTCAGCCATACAGTACAACCGTATGAGCTTACAGTATATCTTTGTCATTACATGTATTTTCTAAACCTATAACACTCTATGTACTCAACTATATTTTCTACCTCCTCAGCTTTTATCTTGTAAATACACAATGCTCTTTAAAGGATCAGCCAAGTAATGGACACAGTCAAACATGTTGCTCCGGGGCTCGGTTCATTCCTTTTTAGAATTCCTAGCTCCCTTTTTTCCTCGCTCTTTTCTTTGGCAGATGAATAGGCATGTCCAGTCAGCTGTCCTCACATTGATTCATCCTGACGTCCCAACCAGCTCAGCACAAACTCCCTATGGTCAGGGCACGGATGCTGAGCGCTTGTGTGCTGTGATGTGTGTGTTTCTGCTTGTGCGAAAATATCCGCTTTAGGTGGGTCGAGTGTTTGTGCACTGCCCGTGTGTCTGCTTGCTGCGGTGGACTGGAAATAGAATCTCCAATCTACCACATACTGCACCTTAATATCTCTAATGCCTTATTTATTTTTGTATAAAAAGTTCCAGTAATATATCAGGTGGAAAACTAGTAAAACATATTAAAATGTTTGCTGCATGCCCCAGGATTGTGTGCATACAGACAGTGTGTGTCTCTGTGAGTGTGCCTGTGTGCTGAAATGGTCCAAATATTCACATCCACGAGTCTGTGCCAACATACCCCTTACTGGAGATAGCATGTGACTGTCCTTATGCTAGTGTTCAAAGCCACAGTCACTCACTAAGCCTCACCTCGCATCTACGATTTTGTGTCTAATAATCCTGTCTCTTTCCAGCAACTGCAAACGCAACTGAAGCATAAAACAAATCTAGCTCACGAACTGAGAGTCAGTATTTGGCTAAATGGAGACTTAGGATAAATATGAAATTGATTTCCCCACCTGTGAGTGTTTCGTTTAAATATTCTATAAACCTAAAAAGCTACTTTCAATCAAACCTTACAGTTTGAACACTAATTAGAAGGAAACAATCTTTTACAAATAACTACAAAATAAAGACAGGCAATGTGCCCTAAGAATAACAAATTAGGTCTTAAAAACAGATTTCCCAAAAAAAATGAAAGAAGCATTATTTTAAAATAATTTAAAAATTTTAAACAATGTTCTGTCCCTGTACAAGCAGCGCAAGAGTTTTGGTTCGCATTGCCGGTAGTAAGTTGGACCCCTTCAGGGTGGGAGTTGGACTCTGCCAGGACTGCCCGTTGTCATCGATTCAGTTATTGTTGACATTTATGGACAGAACTTCTCGGTGCAGCCAGGGGGCAGAGGGAGTCCAGTTCAGTAGCCTCAGGATTCCTTCACTGCTATTTGCAGATGATGTGGTGCTGTTGGCGTCATTGTGCCGTGATTTTCAGCTCTCACTGGAGCAGTTCTCAGCTGAATGGGAAGCAGTTGGGATGAGAATCAGCACCTCCAAATCTGAGGCCATGGTCCTCAGTCAGAAAAGGGTGGATCGCCCTCTTAGGGTCGAGGGTGAGGTTCTGCCTCAAGTGGAGGAGTTCAAGTATCTTGTGGTTTTGTTCACGAGTGAGGGAAGAATGGAGCGTGAGATTGACAAACGGATTTTATTAACTTTTATTTAACCAGGCAAATCCCACTGAGATCACAGATCTCTTTTGCAAAGGAGGCCTGGGCCTGAAAGCAGACTAACATGCATGTTTTTGGTCTGTGGGAGGAAACCAGAGTACCTGGAGAAAACCCAGACAAGCACAAGAAGAACATGCAAACGCCACACAGAAAAACCCCAGGTCCAACTGGGGATTGAACTCAAGACCTTCTTCCTGTGAGGCAACAGTGCTAACCACTGAGCCATCATGCTGCCTTATCAGTGCAGCATCTGCAGTATTGCAGACTCTGTGCCGGTCAGTTGTGGTGAAGAGAGAGCTGAGCTGTAATGCAAAGCTTTCAGTTTACTGCTTGGTCTACGTTCCTACCCTCACCTATGGTCATGAACTCTGGGTAGTGACCAAAAGATTTAGATCGCAGATACAGGCAGTTGAAATGAGTTTCCTCTGCAGGGTAGTTGGACTCTCCCTTAGAGATAGGTGAGAAGTTCAACTATCCGGGAGAGACTCAGAGTAGAATTGTTGCTCCTCTACATCGAGAGGAGCCAGTTGACGTGGTTCGGGCATCTGGTGAGGATGGTTCCTGGGCACCTCCCTAGGGAGGTGCTTTGGGCATGTCTGACTAGAAGGAGACCTCAGCAGGAAGACCCAGGACACGATGGACAGACTATGTCTCTCGGCTGGCCTGGGAATGCCTTGGGGTCATCCCAGAAGAAATGGAAGAAGTGGCTGTGGAAAGAGATGTCTGGGCCTCCCTGCTCAAGCTGCTGCCCCCGCGACCCGACTTTGGAACAAGTGGAAGATAATGAATGAATGAATGAATGAATGAATGAATGAATGAATGAATGAATGAATGAATGAATGTATGTATGTATGTATGTATGGATGGATGGATGTATGGATGTATGGATGTATGTATGGATGGATGGATGGATGGATGTTAAATATGCCTCTCAACTACTACTGGGCCAGAATTTAACATAATATCTGTAAAATTACTAAGTTATTATAACCATTTTAATGTTTATTATGTTCAATGTTAGCTGTTGGCTTTAAAGCAAAGTAAGTTTAAACTTACTTTGTATTAAACTGTAAATAGCCCAA